ATGTTTGTCATTGGGATTCGAATAACAACCAAATCTGGTATCAAATGGATTGGAACCATTATATTACTCTTAGATGTGGTCTAGCAATAGATTTTAATGATGTGCTTACCGAGTTGATTTAAAGTAAATCGGCGCTGGTCAATTTTGACAAATTATACAAAAGAAGCCAATCATGTTTTAAAAATTTGTTTTTAAGTTACATTATCTTTTCCCGACGAAGAGAAAGTTATATAATCAAATCAAGTATCAGATGAATAAAACAAGGATAAACTTATTAGGCAATTAAATAGAGACATACACATACGAACACAAAGATATGTAACATAATATTTTTTTCCTTAGCATATACTGTATTCGTATTTGGAAAATTTTTTGAAACAACGGTACTGTGTGTTGTTTCGAATAATAAAAGGACAATTTCAAAACCCGATTATTACTATATTATAAACTCACTAATATTTTAAATAAGGTACGCGTTATCGTTATTTCGGGAGGCGCATGGGCGTTGTTTCGAAATTAACTAGGGAGGTAACGTCCATGCTGCTATGTATTTCGAGAATTTACGGAAATTGAAATTTTTGATCAACAGACATGTAAAAAATGACAGCTTTAATAAATCTTTTCCCACTTCAATAGCGATAGAAATTTAATGGTTAAATTTTGCATTAAGATTTATCATGATAAAAACTACATCAACTTAAAAAATTTATCATAAACCCCATAAACCTAATACAGTATTTAATTATTAATCTATTTTAATGAAACCAGTATGGCAAAAAATTAATTGAATTTTATAAAAAAAAAATTAGTTACATTACATTTATTATCTATCACCAATTAATTTAAAATCGATTCTCTTTAGAAAATAAAAAAAAAATAAAAAAATAAAATTTCAAAATTGGTAAAAGGTCTATTGATAAAGATAAAACTACATAGAATTGTTATGAAATGTATAAATAAACAACTGTAGTAGTGAAATTAATAAAGTTGTGATTATAAAAATAAAATAGAAATTGATATAATTGTTCTTTTATGTAAATAAGAGTAAATCCAAAATTGCCAATCCAAAATTGTAATAAATAAAGTAAAAGGAATCATAAAACTTTTTTTATGACCAAATTGTTGCGTGCGAGCCTTTTAGCCCAAGTTGTAAAGGACCACCACCTGTAAACAGCATTGTACCTGATTCATCATATGAAAGTGTATAAATAGCATTCTATAATGTGAATCCAAAAAATGAGTCATATATTAATAAGTAATTGTAGTAGAAATAATAAATTACTTTAATCTTGAAAAAAAAAAAAAATTCATATCAATACATACCAACCAACCTGAACCTGTTTCTTTATAATTACATGTTACTGACGATTCATCATTTGATGTATTGAATGTAAGATAGCTTTGCGCACGCATATCATAAAAGGAAAGCCTTCCGTAGCCACCTCCAGTTGTAATTATATGATCATCAAAATTTAAGGAACGAACACCTAAATTGAGGATTAATATATTTGCTGTTAAGAAAATCATGAACAATAACTAATAATAATAGATAACAAATAATAACAAATAATTATAATATAATTACCCCAACCCTCATCTACAGAATCAATTTCATGAACTATAGACGATGTCCGTGGGTCCACAATTGATATATGCGCCTGAGATCCAACAGCATACAGATTCACTTTGGAATTCATTGATAAGCATACATTTTCATTTGTATGTATTAAAGGTATTTTTGTCACAGGATTAAGATATGATGCGTCCCATAGCCTAACATACCCAATAGTAGAAAGGGTCATTATTTGCTAAAAAATAAATAAATAGGAATAAATTAGGATTGAGTCATAATAAGTTTAAATTATTTGAAGAAAAAAGTAATTCATACATCAGTCTTTGAGTTGAATTGTAAATCTCGAACTTTGCCACCATGTTCTGATCTAGTGAGCAGAGGTTGATGAACATTGACAAATTTGTTTGGGAATAAAGACATCTCTTCGGTTATTTTTGATTCAATAGACCAAAGACGAACTGTACCATCACGTGAGCCTATAATAAATCAAATAAAATAAGAAACTTTAAACTATATATTCTATATATTGCAATATTAACATGTTGTCATCAAATAAACATAAAAGTAGAAGAAATACCTGATACAACATGACTATCATCTAACCAAGCGACAGAAAAGACCAAATCATTATGACCCTAAAATAAAAATCAAACTAAAAATAAGAAGTCTTCAATGATAATGAATAAATACGTAACAAATATTTAAGAAGTAATTTTTTTTTACCGAGAATACGATTACAGGTTCAAAGGAAGGTAATTCATATATCATAACTTGAATTGGATTCCCAGCACCTATAGCCAATAGAGTTCTTGAAGGATTCACGGCGATACTTCGAATTCCCGAACAATTATTATTACTACTACTACTATTATTATTATTATTATTATTATTATTATTACTAATACTATTATTATTCGGTAGTTGGTTATTTATACATCCAGTGACCAATGGAATTTCAAACTTTTTATTTGTCTCAACATTTAGGATTAAAAGCTTATGAAATACAGTATTAAACAAATAATGCAATTAGAAATTAGAAATTAAAAATTGATAATTTTTTTAAAAAAGAAGATATTTTAATTTTACGTCATGCATGACATACCTTATTGCATTTTGTTCCTACGACAATTTCATTATGTGATATCCAGTGAGAACAGAAAATCTTGTCATGACTTCCTAAATCAATTTGAGCTTCTTGAAATAAATGAGGCATACGACGGGATACAATACTAAACCAATTTGGAGGCAGGCTATTATTATTTAAATCATAAAAATAATCAATTTTTTTTTTAAGTATATCAAAATTGATTTACGTATATATATATATAGTTGTTAAAAGATAAATTCTTAAAAGTAGATCAACCTTGCCGTATTTAATCCTAATTCTCTATTATACAAATATTTATGAATCTCGTCCTGTGATTCATCGGGAAAACTACAATCGAAAGAATAATAAAACAAAAAATTTTTCTTTAATATACAATTATATATAATATATAATATATATATATATTCATATATATATATTCATATACATTATATATTTACCTCCATGGTTTTGCATCTTGGTGTTTAGAAAAGAATGAAAATTTAAGAATAGCCATTTTACTGTTTCGAACGTTCCTCAATAAAGCACCTATGGAGACCTCCACAACTGAAAAATTTTTATATAAAACTAAAATGCTAACTTTATATACGTTACTAATATATATATATTATATATATTTATATATATATATTAGATTGGATCTAAAATATCTTAATTGCGATAATGTTTTTTGATGGTTTTGAATCCTTGGAAGGTAAATGTTATACAAAAGCAATCGATGTTTCAAGGATCACGATCGGGAATAAAAATGATTATAAAAGAAGTTGAAATGTCGGATAATAATGGTCGAGTAACTCAGGATGGAAATGGTATAAATTAGATCCAAAGAAAAAAAAGAATGTGATTATTAAATAGACGGGTTAAAAATAACCCTTACATGGAGCCGTGAAACGGATATTAATAAGGGAAAATAAAAGAAAAAAGAATGAAAGAGAAAGCAAATAAGAATTACTACCATAAAATGCAAACAAATTAAAAAAACTGCAGGACAACATAATAGTTGTAACACGATTTACTACAATTTACCTGTCGAATCAATGAATCGAACAAAAAAATTGATAACCAATAAACAACACATCCATGAATTTTTTTAAAATGATCTGCTTATAATACGTTCAAATAACTGACTAAAGAGTAAACGGCCCAAATTTCATGCATTGCTCTTACCAAATTTATGTTATTCTGTGTAAGATAAGCATTCTATTATGCATGAGATATGCATAATATATGCATGTGCTATGCATGTGTTATGCATATTACAGTATTACAGTATTATGTGTGAAATAATATCGATGCGCATAGAATGTCCATATTCATCATGTGAAAAACCAAATACGGTTTTCTAGCATCTAAATATGAAAAAAAAATTCTTCCGCCAATAGTTCCGCACTAACTCCACACGTATGTACATACGAATATTTTATAAGGTCTTGTTACTAATCAGGTTTTTTATTTACTCGTTTTCTAGAACAAAAGAACGTTAAATTTAAATCTACAAAAACTAATCAAGTTAAATGCGCATGCATACTAATGTTTGCAAACTATACAATATCAAAAATTCTCGCTACGTAGAATGATAACGCCTAACAATATACAGTAATATTATGAGCGAGATTATTTCTTCAGAAAGCGAAACATTTTGGTTTAGCCCGCGTACGTACGTACTGTACGTACGCAATTTCATTTTTGCAAATAAAAAAGGTTTCGATATAAAAAAAGTAATTTTTACATATATATTACGTATTATTGACTTTATTACGTAATATAATCAATCAGTTTTTTATGGACAAAAGGCGATTATGAGACTACATAGTTCCATTGCCGCTTTTGCTTATGTAGAAAATTTTCAAGGTTTCTGTTTTCTAAAAAAAAGGTAATAAATAAGTAAATTTCAAGTTACTATTACGTATAAACTAAGCAGTGCAATTCTGTTTGGACAGGTTAATCCTTGCTACAATTAGGATTAAAGTTATGGCTATATTAGTTATGTACCGTTGCTGTACTATACACTACGTATTCAAGGTCTTATTAAAAAACACCATTTTTAAAAATCGAGTAGTACCCAGTACTATTCATAAAGCAAATAATTTCATCGGTGGATAAGGGATGTTTTTGTTATAACGCGAAAGGCGAAACCGTAGGCAAATTTCGAGTAACAAGCATTTCCTGAAAAAAAAAGGTATTAATACACTGGTATCGCGTTTGTGTCACTTTACATCGACAAAGTTCAGAGTACGAATTTACCGGTCAAACAAAATCCAAACTTTAAAACCAAAATCCCCCAAATATTCTTGATGGATTGTCCGTATCATTCCTCATATGGGTAAAAAAAAAAAAAAAAAAACAGAGCTACGTAACTCAAGACATTATTTACATTTTAATATTACATTTTAAAAACTATACAAACAATGAAAAGTTTCATTGATAATTAGATTCTGGCGGTGCAGGAATATAAATACATATATTTTGAGTAATGGTCCCGGTCGATCATTATTTTTCGGTTATGACTAAGCCAGAAATTTATTTTATTTTGGTTTGACCTTTTGCTCATATTTAATGTTTCATTAATTCACTTTCTGCATATGGAAATTATTAGAGCTGGCGTGGTTGATCTTAAAATCAATTATCTTATTTTTTTTTTACAGTTGTTTTCATAATTCCTGGAATAAGTTAGTGATTCGGCATGATCGGTATATCAAAGATAAATATCAAAGATAAATATCAAAGATAATATTTTTATACTTTATTACATCTTACTTGTTCTATAGAAACTTGAGAACCTAACTTATAGAAGATCTAAAATATTTGCCAATTTTTCCAACTGATAAGCCATCTAAATATTTGCCAGTGAAGATGCTTTGAAAGTATTATATTTCTGTATTTAACCAGAGATATTCGTATGTACGTAAGTCTTAGATTTTAAATTACATATGAGGGTGAATCAATAGAAACGCACTTTATTTTAATTTTCAAACGAATATAATTTAGCAAAATTTAATCACATTTAGTAAAAAAATTTTTACAAGTTTTTAGAATTAATTTAAAAAAACAATTATTGTGTTTTGGTTGAGTTATTCTTGTTTAAAATTTTAAAAAATTTTACATAGGAAAAATATGGTGCATTTCTACTGACTCACCCATATATATATCAATTTTATTGTATTATGCCGAAATTACTAACTTAACTGGATCGGCCAAAAAATCATTCGGCAAATTTTTTGGTAAAAAAAAATCGAGAGGAATGATTTGCGTCAGTATCGCGTAAATTAATTTTTAATTTTTTGCCTTTATTTTTTTTTTTTACACAAATCTTGAAATTTGATTGGTTAATCATATTACAAGTAACATAACCAGAAAGACAAGTAGCAACACTCTTTTAATAAATACTTGATCAGAATTTTTTTTATTTAAATCTTATAAATTGTAAAATTCAAATAAAACAACCTTATTAAATACAGTAGCTATAAGATATCTTTAAATATTATTACAACTTTTATTTTAATATACAGTATATTTAAAACAATTATTATATAATGTTTTACATCTATTTTATTATTGTGTTTTTGGATTTTAATATTTAACATAAAATTTTTATATTAGGGGCAGTGTTTAGAGTTAGAGTTACAGTTTGAGAAGAGTTTAATTAGAATACAGTCAGACCACCCTAAATGCAACCCCTCTAAGTGCACGTCCTATAAAAAGCCTCCCTAAATGCACGTCTTCTCTTGGACCCAACTAATATTACGCCTATAGATTTTTACCTCCCTAAATGCAATACCTCTCTAAGTGCATCACAGGTTGAATCAATGAATATCGAGTGCATACCGGGAGAAAAGTTTCCCGATATGTATCCGTTAGTCTGCCATAGATCCGCCAAATCCCTGCTGAATATCAGCAGCACATTGGTAAGATATGGGTATCCCAATATTATGCAGTTATGTCTATATCGATGTGCTTCCAAAAGTGCTGTTGATATTCAGCAGGTATTTAGCGGGTACATATCGGGAAACTTTTCTCCTGGTATGTACCCGATATTCATTGATTCAACCGTGCACGTTTGGCTAAATTTTTACCTATGGTCACGTCGCATTGCATTTAGAGAGGTCTTACTGTACCTCGCGCTAGGGTGTCTGACACACCAATAAAATTTGGCATGCCATAAAATATCATATATATAGTTTGAATATTATAAATATAATTTTTATGCTGTCCCCAGTGGCATGCCAAATTTGTTTTCGGCATGCCTTTGCCACTATGTCAGACACCCTACCTCGCGCTGAATAATAGCTAGTTTTTGAGTTTAAATTTAGTGCTTCGATCCTAAATCCGACAATCTGGATTGATTCTTCAATCCAGATAAATTCAGATATCAGATAAATTTAGATATCAGATCAGAGGAAACTAGCTTTATATATAACCTAATGCATTAGGATCGAAGCATTAATACAGTATAGATAGGTATACTGTAAAACACCATAGGTGCGCTTTTAGTAAAGGTCATTTTTTTATATATTGCAAAATACAGTCAACTCTATCTATTCCGAATGATCCGTCCTTATATATAAAAGGTTCAGTTCTCAAAGAGGTATTATTACTAATCCGAACTTTATAATAAAATCTACAAATGTTCTAGAGTTTTACGTTCGGTTCTCACAAAATTTATTAGAGAAAGAGACGACTGTAGTTTGTAATAATAAAAAATAATGAATATTTAAAATATAACTCAGGCTTTTTTGGTTAAATTTATACCACTAAAATACTTGAGTTTTTATTTTCTAAAATATATATATATATATATATATAATCATTTGATAATTAAAATTTGATTTAGCAATAATAAAAATAATACTATGGGATTAAACTCAAGAAATTGCTTGTCGTTATCCAAGTACTATAATTTTTTTTTTTGCAATTATAAAATCATATGAAATATTCACAAAGCCAACTTCAAGGATATTATTATATTATGTAACATCTAAATAAAAATAAAAAAAAAAATCATTAAACTGTCTTATATGTCCAATGGTCCAATAAATTAGCTCTATTAATTCAACAAAAAAAAAAAAAGGTATTTATAATATATAATTTGCGTAATTGTATAAATGAAATATTTATAAAAATGATGAAATGACACAAATGAAATAAATAAATAAATACAAAACAGATAAACACTATCTATATAAAATTTTCCAAAATGAAAAAAAAAAAAAAAAATCGACAAAGCTAACTTATTATATATTAATTGTTCATAACTCCAATATCATTATTAGCAGAGATAATTGTATCTTTATTACTTATACTATCACCATTTAAAGATGCACAATCATTATCAATTAGCTTTTCACCAATTTTACCATCTTTAAGTTTATTATTATCGTTTTTTCTATCTTCAGATATTAATTTTGTATATTGATTAAGTGTATGCGATTTTTTTTTAAAAAATTCACCTGCATCAGCTTCGACCTTTTTAGGTTCCGGGCGCACTGTTTTCTTAAGTTTTGGCCATTCTGATGGGAAAGGGATTGGTGGTGGACGTGCTGATGGTAACAGAGGTGCTGGTGTTCGTAATGATGACGACGACGAAGATGACCTTAAACTTGATGGCCTTGATGAATTTGAAGGAACGTATGAGGATGTTGAGGATGTAGGAGATAATGTAGGACTCCGAGGTATTGTTAGCAATGTTTGTGATGAAGGAAGGATAAGTGACGGAGTTGGTGTTCTTGCTTTGGAATGAATACTTGTGGATGATTGAGAATAAGATGTATGTGCTGATAATGTTGTTGATGACGTCGCAAATGCGGGTGACAATAAGGAAGGAGGTGGTAATGTAGATGGAGAAATTGGCGGTGAATCTCGTGGTGTAAGTGAAGCTTGATCTTGTGAAGATGGTGGCGATGATGGAGTTCGTATGAATAATTGTTTGTTTTTATTCGATTCTTCGAATATTGTTCTTTTGTCCGAGTTTTGTTGAAATGCTGCTTGCCTTAATTCTTCGAATAATGAAAGCTTTGATAATAATGGCGTCGTTGGTCTTGATTCTAGCTGTAATGGAGAATATTGTGGTGTGGTAGGTGTTGATGGTAAAGGTGTTGCCGGTGAAATATAAGTTGATGTGGACATAGGTGGTATTAAGAATGGATTAATCGGTTCAAATTCAAGTTCTGATCGATGGCTGAGATTAGATGTTGATTGTTCTGGCATTACATATACTGTTTCTGGTGGAAATACAGATACAGACTCTTCAGTTGAATCAGTAAGAGCTGGGAAATATGGTGTTGTAGGTGTAGGAGGAATCGATCGAGCAACATGTTGAGGTGAAGAATACGATGTAGTTGGGTCTGATACTAAAGGCACATTTTGTTGCGAAGAATTTTTAAGAGTGGAATCTTTTAATGTTAATTTTGACGATGGAGACATATTTGGTTTAGGTGTTGAAGAAGAAGACGCTAACGAAGATAATGGTGTTTCAATAGTAGAAGAGGTTGTCTCTGAAACATTATTAGAGTTTGATAATGTATTTGATGAATCATTTGACGAATCATTTGATGGACCATTTGATAATAATTTTTCTGAATCGGTAGAGGTAGGATGTTTAGAATGCTTGGTGTTCTCGTTACCATTAACGTCAACAATAGCATCTATCATAGCGTCCATAGCATCAAGTACTGCATCATCTGAATTAGTGACATTAACATCATCTGTTACATTGTCTTCGGTAGCTCTATCAAAATTATCTGAAGCAGCATTTTTCACATCAATTTCTGTCATGTCTACATTGGTTTCAATAGTCTCTCCTGTGATATTTTTCTCTGTGGTATCTCCCGCTTCTTCAAAAGGTTCACATTTATTTGAATTATTGTCAGACTTGGTAGTTTCCTTATTAATCGAAGGAACGTCAGTTGCTTCAAAAGTATCATGATCAGTGGTACCATCAACATTTGTAGCTTCTTCGCTATTAAAAAGATTATTCTCAGTGTCAATAGTATTTGTATCATTATTCAGTAAGGAATCTAATTGGTTGATTTCTTTTTCTAATTCATGAATTTCTTTGGCTAATTTGTCATCATCAATATCACCGATTGATTCAATTTCATTCTCATGATCAGTTTGAGATTCAATTTCATCATCTTCAGATGGATCTTTTGACGTATCTTCATACTCAGATGCATTAACTTCTAGACCTCGTTCATCATTAGTAAATTCAATATTATTATCAGCATCAATTGATTTTATTATCATAGCATCGATATCTTTAGAATTATCGATATCTTCAGAATAATTAACATCATGATTCATTTCTGAATTAATGTCTCTATGATCTTGAATGGATCCGATAAAGGAAGGCGTAATCAATGTAATAGGCTCAGTTGTAACTATAGGTTGTATAGTGGGTGGTGAAATATTGATGCTTATTTTTTCATCCTCTTTACCTTTGAAGTTTGTATCCTTATTCAAAATTTTATTATTATCTTTGTTAGTTACGTTAATTTGTTGGATGAAAGTTGTTAATAATTCAGGCTCACTATTATTTTGTTGACTACGTTTACCTAATCTAAGAGATTTCCAAGTTTTCTTTTTTGATTGTTGTGTCTGTTTATTTTGCTGATTATCAACAATCGATGATGTTATTATTGTTCGATTTTTTGAAGCTGATGGTAATGATGATAAATATGATACTAGAATAGGAGGAATAGGTTTTTGGGCTGCTATCTTCTGAGATTTGGAAGTTATCTTACTATTTTGTTTCTTCTGCTTATTACTAAAACTTTTACTTTTTACAACATCATTATTAATATCGGACATTGGTATATTAACTCCTAGAAGACGGATATTATTCCATGCGCGATCAGGTGCATGGTACATGGTATCTCGAAGAATTTCAATTTGAGATGCAGTATCAGATCCCTTTGCCTTTATCAAACTTAAACTTTCACTTTCTCTTCTTCCAGTATTGGAACGAATTGAAGTAGAACGATTTGAGAGTACAGATTTTCTAGAGATATTTTGTGCTAATGATCTTCCACCAAAATTATAAGATTTCATTGTTCTCTGACGATCCCATTCAATAGCTGTCATTACCCAAGATGCTGAATTCCATTGTTGCCTCAAAGTGCTAATTTCATCACGAACGATATCAAGACACTGTTTGACTTTTTTTGTTTCTTCAGGAACTTTGGGAAGTTCATCCGGTTCAAAAAAGAAATCATCAATATTTTGTTCATTTACATCTGAAAAATTTTCCATGGCCTGCAAGTGCCTAAGCAACTCATGAGCAAAGTAAGCACGACTAGCTTGTAATATTTGCATTGATCGACGAGAACAAGCATATAAAGAAGTGTTGAAAGTTGCATGTTGTAATGCATCATATAATGAAAATGGATATAACGTACATAATCGCGATTGAAATGATGTACTAATTTGATGTATTTGACGCATAGGTTTAACGATTAATATTATACGAATAAAAGGTCTAATAGAACTAGTATTACTTAAAGAAGTTGATAATGACATAGCCTCTTCACCAACAGAAGTTGCGGCACCGGTCGAGGTAGATGTTTTAACATTTGATCCCGCTTCTTCATCTTCAGATTCTGGATTACTTTTATCAAATGTTATCATTCCTTTGTCTTTCTCCATGAATTCATTATGACTATCATCTGCTCTTTCACTATTGTCATCAATACTAGCGCTAATACTATCATCATCATCATCATCATCGTCATTATTAATATTGTTATTGTCATTATTATTATTATTATTAACATTATTATTAACATTATTATTATTCTCATTATTTTCAATTTTCTCGTGAGAATCTTCGTGACCTCGCTGATTTCGAAGTGAACTAAACGATAGATTCGACTTCATCTCTTCTTGGTAAGAAATCATTGATTCAAATGTTTTATGAGATCCACCTGATGTTCCTCGTGATGGATGCGATTTAATAGAATGTTTTCTGTCATGTGATAAAATTTCGGATTGCTGTTTACTGCTACGCCTATTAAAAATCATACATTTAGTTCCAGGCTTTACATTATTGTCCAAGTACAAATCATTATGAAGCGAAGTTCCACAATTATCAATAACATTTTCTTCAAGTTCATTTGTCATGGTATATAATTGATTTGTTCGTAAATCCAAATAAACGTCCACAGTTTGCTCACAATATATATCATTTACTTCCCATGTAAGACCAGTTTCATATTGTAACTTATGATAAGAATTTATAAAGGAAGCTTGAAATTGACCTAAACTAGTTCTGTTATCATCATCACCTTTAGTTGCCATGACTAAATCCATAAAACAATCTTGACTAAGACAAGTCAAAGATTTAATCCAACTAGTTTCTTCAGCAGTAATCATTGCTTCATCACGAATTTTCCCTAAAGGAATAAATTGTTTTCGCTCTTTTGGTACCAAAATTTTGATACCTTGTAATGTGCTTTCGGTGTATAAAACACCTAAATAAAGACCAGGAGATAATTTAGTTTGCCTAGAACACCATTTTTCAATATAATTTAACCAAATTGAATGAAAATCTTTTTGATAAATGTTATTTATTTCATCAAAATTCTTCCATTTTAGAGCGCCAGTTTTGATAAGATCAGGTGCGATTTCATCTTTGATACAATTTGGAATATATTGAAGAGCGACAATGAATTTTGACTTCGATGAATTCATGGCCACAACATGTTCATATATAGTACCTAATGATTCAAGAGATAATTCGCTTTTTAATTTCAGAGCAGCATAACCAAACGAACGTGACCATAAGGTTTCATCATTTATATATTGATTAAATGGTATGGTACTTGGATTTTCAGAAAAATCAACCGAACTCGAATTTGAATGTAAAGAATGAAATGAATCCGAATCACTTGATGAATCATTATAAGTCTCCTTAGAAGTAGACCAATCTAACGAAGTTCTTATCACATGAGCAAATTCTTCGCTATCATCCTCAAAATTAGAGAAAATTTTGTCATCACGGATAACTTCAATAGTGGGAAACATTTTACTACTACCAGAAGTTATTAATAATTTATTATCACAAGTGAACAATATTGTGGTCAAATAAATGGTTTCTGCTTGAAAGCGTGTTTTCAAAGATGTTTTAACGCTTTTAGTACCACCAAAGACTCCCTTTCGTTTTGTTTGTGCTGCTAAATTCGGACTTAATGTTGTTGGTAAATGGCGCTAAATTTATTATTAATCATTTATCAACAGTTAATTAATAGATTTAACATGAATAATAATAAAATAACCAGTAAAAGATAAACCTTTTTGGGATTTTCTTCATTATATACAAGTTCAAGGTACCCAGGTGTCTTTTTCCGAACTAACAAAGTATCCTAAAGTAAAATAATAATAATAATAATAATAATAGAAAAATAATAGAAAGTAATAGCATAATTAACAAACACATTATTTGAACGAATAAGAAATTGACCAAAAAAAGTACAGATATGAGAGATACCTCTTCAGGATGAGAGGATAGTAAATGTGTATCACATAGCCATGTCTTGAAAAGTTCGCTATATAAAGCATAATTCCAAGAGTCATATATTCCTAAAGTTTTACATGCCTAAAAAACAATACAATTATTAATATTAATCACATGATAAAATACGTCATTGGCGATTAAAAAAATATAAATGAAACCCACCCTTTCAAGCACAGCTTGAGCAGAAGTTCCCTGGGAATAGCCAACATCTACCGGTTTATCATGACCTTCTAGACGTACTTGTATTATACAATAACTATAAACGGGACGAACACATAAGTATATTGAATATATATGAATGCCACTCAAGATGTAAAAAGAAAGCACACCATTCCATTGTAATTTTTTTTTATATATTTTAAACACCTATAACGGCCTTCAAAGCAGAAAATACGAAAGCCTATGTTGAAATAAGTCTAAGAAAGTAGTAAGCATTCCAGCCCGAGATGGGTAAATATTAATAAAAAAGAAAGTTATAGAAATTGTTAAAAGAGTGTCTTTAGTTAAATGGTACGTGTAATATTAAAAGATAGAAATATGAAGAAATGAAATTCCAAAAAGGAGCCAAAGTTCAAAAAGCGAGGTAAGGAAAGATATTTACCAACAACGGCGTAATATTTAGTGAAAACCGTGTATATATTACAACTTTGACGGAAAATTTTTTTCAAAAAGAGTTTAATGTGGTCTGAAACATAACCAATCCCTTTATTCAAAATTTATTTATCTTAAATCGTTGTAAATGTAAACAAATAAGATTTACTCTTTAATAACTACATTTAAAACCTGTGATAAAAAACACCATGTCGCAGAAAATACTTTAATTTATTAACCATTGTAAAGTTTATAAAGAAATATGCAAGATATTCAGCTTACATATAGCAGATAGGCCCTGAGTTTCCTGAGTTGATGCATACGTGTTAAAGCGGCTATCGAATTCAGGATATTCTTTTCTATATTTTGTTATGTCTTTCGCATTGTTAACTGTTAATAGTAATTGTGTTATATGTCACGTGAGATAGGCTATAAAAACCTCATGGATTTGATTGGCCAATTAAAGGTTACGTCACCAAACATATCACACGGTAATAAAAATTTATGTAACAATATGAACAGCATGCAACGAAGTGTAACATGGGTAATTTAACGTTTAACAGTTTAAATAATTTTAATTGTTTCATGTCAGCATGTCAGTTATTAATACTTTGTGAAAGTTTCACAATGTCGGGTTTGACTGAAAATAAAGTGCGTATTACATCCTATAAAAATTTTGCTACCCGGAAAGAAGCGAGACTTAATTTACGTAAAGTGACGTGAAATTATTTAATTATACAAAAAAAAGCAACTTTGAATGAATGTTAGTCGGTTTCCAAGTGATGAGTCGTTATTTCTTAATCTTCCTAAGATTAAAATAAGATTAAAATGGTTTAAAATGGTTACAATATAATTATATATATATATATATATAGTAATTATAAATATAATTAAAAATAGATCATTTTTTGTTTAACGTTAACGTATGTAACTGGTAAGTGCAAAAACAGATCCACAAAAATACAAAAAAAAAAGGTAAAAAAATAATAAATAAATAAATTTATAAAATTTTAGATTAGATAAGCTTGATGATGTTTTACGAAAATCATTCGTGTTTTGGAAAGAATGTACAACAACTGATAAATATTATAGGATAGAATATACAACATTATTATCATTTGGAAACTGTTTATGCGTACATACGTACGTACGTGCGAAAAGCACTGACCAAAATGGTTTGTAACATATATGTGATGTGCTTCTATATATCCTTCTTTTAAATTAACAACTTCTAACACTGCTGCTTCTAAAGTTGCTCAAAATGCTACATGATTGCACCCTGACATGAAATGATTACGGGACTATAGTAGCATGAACCAACCAATTCTCAAAACACTGCAATCTTAATTGGCTTTAAATTAAACATCATTATATAATGTTTATTATCGTTATCTTAAAAACGTCATAATTCTCTGGTTGAAGACTAATTATTTGATTCTGCCCAGCCAGTTTTTTATTCGCAATATTAACTAATAAGTTAATTGCAATGATTTGTGCAGCGGCTTTTTAATGATGAAAACATATTTTTAGCTCATCTTTGCCTTGAAAATCAAGTATGGAACATATGGCTTACTATATTCTGTAACTCGATTTTATATTTTCTCAAATATAGATAGATAGTATCGCGGTGGTTCATTATAAGGTATAAACCACTTAGCATTTCACTTGTTCAGCTTACTTGGATCGTTGGGGTGTACGATATTTCTAACAATCATGATTTTTTGCAGATTATCATTCTTGTAATGAAAATATATAAATAGAAACTTATGAAATACTAAATAAGTATATACAATCGAAATATTTTTTGAATTTCTTTTGGTAATAATCTCTTTAAAGTAATGGAGCCCTTTAATTAGATTTTTGTAATTGGTTTTGCTTTATTTCATATATATAAAAAAAATATTACTAAGCGAAATTCAGTAAATATAAATTTTGATTGGATTTATTTTAGTAACTCATAAGTTCTATTCGTTTAAAAAGTTGTTTTTACTGATCTGCAAATCATTTTTTATTTAAATTTACTATGATCGTAAATCATGGAATACCCACATCCTATTGGATCGGCGTGTCGTATGACCCTAAAACATGACCACACCTGACATAAGTACTGATATGCACGGCTTATCTGCAATTCATCATATTTTTTAATTCTAAAAATCCATATGGTTGGTTATCGATGTTCGAATTTTATTGGCTACTCATAATATACGTCCTATCAGCTATAGCTATAACTATTGATTGCTGTTATTGTAATCAATCATATGATTAAATTTATCAGAAGTAATACGTATCAATTTTATTATAACAATTTATTACTCGCCATTTGTAATACAAATCTACAAGCTGAACCGAAATTTTATCCAATTTTTTCATTATTCCAGAGTCACCACTCTTGGTGGACATTTCTTAATATTTTCTTGTTCTAATAATAATACCTTCTCAGTTTGAGATAAAGATCGCTTAGCACCAAATACTAATGCTTGCTCTTCTGCAACACGCTCTGCTACTTCTTGCCTCGCGCGAATTGCATAAAATTCATTGCATGCTTCAGCATATGCTTCACTTTTTGACATTCCATTTGACATAAGATAAAGTTGATATTTTATCACGCTAATTACATAACAAAAATTAAAATAAAAATAAAGATTATTTAACATTATTGCAGAAAAAAAAATAATTAATTATTCAATTAATAAACTTTATTTTGACTGTTATTACCTTTCCCCATTAATTTGGGTAGGGTTTTTTGTATTCAATAAGGTGCTCCAATCTTCTCTAACAGGTATTTCCTTTTCTATTAAACTTTGAGGTCGCAACAATTCATATGGATGATCTCTGTAGAATCGTCGTCGCAAGGAATCTTCTTCATAGACAATCTTTTGTGGTCGTGCAACTTTTGTTCGTAAATGTTTAAAAGCGAAGGATTTTACTCTATTTCGGCCTTCACACCGACTTTGCGGTAAAGTAGGTTCCTGAAATTGGAGTGGAGAACGAAGAACACTTGAACCGGGCGGAACAGCTTTCATAACTGGATACCAAATCGGTGGAGCTTTGTAAATTCCACCCGCCAGAAGCCGTGATACATGATTATGAAGTTTCGTGGGTGATCCACGATACATTTGTTAAAAAAATTAAGAAAAATATTATTCGATTATCTTAAGAATTTTTTGCAAATCAGATCTAATTGACGAACCTCTTACACTGCGTCTATTCAACATCTACGCTGAGTCAGGTGACTAGCAATTAACATTAACGTAATTATGCAATAACGATAATATAAATTTATCATGATTATTTTCTTCCTTACGACCAAATAGAGACGGTCGAATTTATTATTCTATTAATTTTATTTCAACCTCAAACATGAGTTCTACTCCCGTATCCATGGAAGATCAGCAAAAACTTTTAGAGGAAGCATTGAATGTAGTTAAAGTTCAGGCATTTCAAATGAAAAAATGCCTGGTAAGTCAGTAATTATATTTCTGTTTACTTAGATTTACAGGTAATTCACGGCTCTTTTACTTATTTTCTGGTTATAGGCCAACAGCAAACTTATGGATGGCTTGAAACATTGTTCTACGATGCTAGCAGAATTGCGGACGTCCGTATTGACACCAAAAAATTATTACGAACTCTGTATCTTTTTTTAAAAAATATATATAATAATAAAAGATTATATAAAGATCTTGACATTAGGTGTTAATTCGCTTTTACTCAATTGAATTCCTGAGCTACCATTATTTGTAAAGATATGGCAATTTTCGATGCTCTCCGACACCTCACAACATACCTTATTGACGCACATGTCTCGGGAAAGCATCATCTTGCAGACCTTTATGAATTAGTACAATACGCCGGAAATATAATTCCACGTTTGTATCTTATGATTACTGTTGGTAGTTCTTATATGTCACAAAAAGATGCACCAGTCAGAGAGATCATGAAAGATGTGATGGAGATGTCTCGAGGTGTACAGCACCCGACACGTGGATTATTTTTGAGGCATTATCTAAGCGGAATGACGAGGGATTCATTACCAGTCGGGAGTGATAATGGGTACTAGGTCCTTCTTGTTTTTTTGTTTTTTTTTTTATAAAGAAAAGAAAGAGTGTTTCAAAAATGCAAAAAAATTTGATACCATTTTTGGTCTTTTGTAAAGTCCACAAGGCAACCTTCAAGATTCAATTTCATTTATTCTTACTAATTTTGTTGAGATGAATAAATTATGGGTCCGCCTTCAACATCAAGGCCATTCACGTGATCGTGAAAAACGGGAGATGGAACGTAAAGAATTGAGAATTTTAGTCGGAACAAATTTGGTTCGCCTGAGCCAATTAGATGGTGTTGATTTAGAGCTGTATCAAAAAGTATTACTTTTCAAAATATTATCTTGCTATTTAATGATATTACAAGTATTTATTCCTGTATCTGTAAATATAATCTAATAGAGAATATTACCTGCCATATTGGAGCAAGTGATCAATTGTAAAGACGTTATTGCTCAAGAATATTTGATGGAAGTCATCATTCAAGTAGGTTTTAGTTTTTTTTCAATTAAGTTAATTATCATGAAACTTACAATTAATATTTGTTTTCTCTAAGGTATTCCATGATGACTTTCATTTGAGAACACTTGGTCCATACTTGTCTGCTTGTGCTCAATTACATCAAAAAGTTAATATAAAACAGATTGTGATCGCGCTTATTGATCGTCTCGCTGCCTATGCTGCTCGTGAAGCAGATTCTGAACCACCAGAAGTGGTTAAACGTCAGGAAGAAGAAGCAGCTCGTAGGCTAGCTGAAAAATTGAAAAAAGCAAAAAATTGGCGGATACGATGATGAAAAGGACTATGATGATGATGATGATTTACTAGGAGATGATTCTCAGAGAGAATTAAATGATGATGATTTTTCGTCAAATAATATAAAATCTGGTGATGAACCCGCAGTAAAGAAATTCCGTGGCATTCCTGAAGATGTAAAACTCTTTGAAGTTTTTTGGGGACAAGTTGTCGATTTGGTCAGGGTATTTATCTTGAAATATATTTTATTTATATTTCTATATTTTGTCCTTGAAAGATTTTTGACTCTGCTTTTTATAGGCACGTCACGATTTATCTATTCAAGATATCACCGCTTTGTTGGTATCTTTGGTCAACTTATCATTAAGTTGTTATCCTGACAGGATTGAATATGTTGATCAAGTCATTGAATTTGCAAAACAAAAGGTTGTGGACTTCCATGATAGGTATATCATAGAAAGAATTTTTATTGTTATTCATAAATATTATTTTTATACATCTAATAGTATAACAACCTATTTCTTTATATAAAATTAGTCCTGATTTACATAGTCCGGCTGCTACCTCCAATTTGCTTAATCTACTTTTGGCTCCGATCAATAATTATCCTACCGTTCTCACTCTTCTTGCACTTCCCAATTATTCGGCTCTACTCTCAGTTCAACCGTTTCAAACTCGCCGTTCTGTTGCTCATGCAATTGTTTCCTCCATACTCAAAAATGAAACGATTATTGAGACTCCTAATGAAGTTAACTGTATACTAGATCTTTGCAGCGTCCTAACACGTGATCAAAAAGATGCTACTCTTTCAAGTCCATTCAGTGGGCTTACTAGCGGGAGAAATGCAAGATCTGGTGGTGTTCCACCGATGATGGATCCAGAAGAATTTGCAGAAGAGCAAGGATGGCTTGCAAGGATTATTCATTTATTTAAAAGCGATGATCTGGATAATCAATTTATGGTATATTATTAACGTCATTAATTTGTTATTTACATAATATAATACGAATTATTTAAATTATTCCTCAAATATATTCTTTTTATTGTGTAATCGTTGTAATAGCTTCTCTCTACTGCCCGTAAACAATTTGCCGAGGGTGGTGAGAGAATACGATACACTTTTCCACCTCTTGTTGCGTCAGCCGTTAAATTAGCAAGAAGATACCTACAGTTTCAACAACGTGTAAATATTTTACATATTATTATATGCAATTCAAATCTGGAGTTTATGTAATTAATTTTATTATTTTTTCTGAAAAGGACGACGATGGTTGGGAGAAAAAAGCAAATACACTCTTTCGTTTTATTCACCAGGTCATTACCGCTCTATATAACAAAGTTGAGTGTTCAGAGTTATGTTTGCGATTATTCCTTCTCGCAGGTCAAAGCGCTGATGAATGTGGGTTTGAAGAAATATGTTATGAATTCTTTGTTCAGGTGGTTTTCATTATGCAGCTTAATGGATTTTTTATTATCTCGAATTTTATGTCTAAAATAAATTTTCAATTATATAAAGGCGTTTACCATTTACGAAGAATCAATTTCAGAATCGCGTATACAATTTCAAGCAATTACACTTATTATTGGCACATTGCAAACCACTAGCGTGTTTGGTGCAGAGAATTACGATACTTTGATCACTAAGTGTGCTCTGCATGGAAGTAAATTACTTAAAAAACCAGATCAATGCCGCGCTGTTTATCTTTCTAGTCACCTATGGTGGGCTACTGAGTCTGAAGGAAGAAACAACAGGCCAATTGAGGTTTTAATTTTAATTTTTGTTCATTTACATTCAAATAAATTGTCATTGTTAATATTCATCGCTTTTATAGGAACTATATCGTGACGGCAAAAGAGTTCTTGAATGTTTACAAAAAGCTCTTAAAATCGCAGATTCTTGTATGGATTCAGTAACTAATGTAGAATTGTTTGTAGAGATTTTAAATAGATATATATATTACTTTGAAAGAAAGAACGAAGCTGTAAGTCATTCATTCATTCATTCATTCATTCAATTCATTTAATTTATTTAAGGATATTATACTATAAATAATTTTTTTATTTTTTTTTTGTAGGTTACTGTTAAATATCTCGATGGTTTGATCGATCTTATCAATACTAATATTACTAATATGGATAGTTCAGATCAACATCCTCCAACATCTGCTTCATCGACCCTTATCGAACCTGAAGGCAACGCTTCAGAGTATGTCATAAGACATTTCAAAGGAACTCTTCATCATCTTAACATGCGAAAGGAAGCAGTACTCGCTTCTAAAGTACAAGGTGACATTTTTCAACAGAGATATGACGATATAAATACAAATGTCTCTATCTAATTTTAAAAATGAAATATTAATTTGGAGGCTGAGGTTAAATATGTGGTTGTTTTTTACAACCTTAATATTATTGTTATTTATGTAATACTTATATTTTGTATTTACATTTGTATTTTTGGGAATTAGATTTGTGCATTTTCTTATCATGTATAAAAATGCCAAAACGCAGAAAAATTTGTAATAATAAACTCTGGATTTACATTTATATAAAATTATATTATAAAAAAACGAGTAAAGTTTAACACTAAATATTAAATAATTTTTTAGTTAAAATTAAGGTGGTCAAATTTTAATTTTATTAATAAAATTAACAAAGATTTACAGTGCAGGCATCCTTAAATCAACATATAAATACATAATCTTTAAAAGCTTATAAATAAAAATCTCTATAAAATAATAAAATCAAACCTAAAGAACAAAGTTATGAAGTTTATTTTTTAAATTAATTAATTGTATTTAATAGAGTTATTTCTTTTAAAAATTAACCTACTTTATTAATTAAATTAAAAATTCGGCCGCCTTAACTTTGGCCAAAATTACTAATAATATTTTTAATTCTGCCCAAAATTATTAAATAAAACATATTACGTATATACAGTATATTTAAATTTAATGTCACGGATTATCGTGAAATCGGATCATCGTGAAATTTAGATTTATTTTATATACGATTTTTAAATTTTTTT